AAGCTGGGGTGAAGTGAGAGAGTGGCATGGACATATATGCACTACCAAATGTAAAATAGATAGCTAGTGGGAAGCAGCCACATAGCACAGGGAGATCAGCTCCGTCCTTTGTGAGCACCTAGAGAGGTGGGATATGGAGGGTGGTAGGGAGATGCAAGAGGGAGATATGGGGATATATGTATACATATAGCTGATTCACTTTGTTGTACAGCAGAAACTAACACCATTGTAAAGCAACTATACTCCAATGAAGATGTAAAAAAAAAAAACAATTACCTATTCAAAAAGGAAAAGGGGAAGGGGAGCACTGTCTCAAATTTTAAGGCTGAAAAGACTAAAAAGATATTTTCAAAAGAACCAGGTTAATGCCTCTTCTCCAAATTACAAAATTAATGACCCTGATTAGACTGTCAAAGCAGCAATAACTTTTCTCTAAAATAATTTAAAAACAAGCATCCTACCTTAACAGAGATCTACAGTCAATGTAATCATCTGAATATTTGCAAAGGAAAATTTAGACCAAAACAAAATGTATCAGTCTAAATTTTAACATACCAGCTTTTAAAGTTAATATAAATCATCTTTTATCAATGGATTCATGATGGTCCACCACACTACCGTACTTTTGTGTATCTTTAAAATTTTCCATATAAAATGTTCTCTTAAAACCTTAAGAACTCCTTCTTAAAGGAGTGGCCATCAAAATTCAGGTGGCCATCACAATTACTACATGTTTAATTATCTGAGCTAGTAGATTAATTTGGTAGTTTAAATTCTTTACAATGCAGACTTTATTAGATGCTTTAAGTAAACTTCATGATACACTGAGATCTCCTTGTATAAAACTGGCACAGATTATACATGCTAATATATTGGTTTTTAAAATAAACCTAAATTTATAGCTTCCTGATTTTATCATAATTTATCTTGATGTCAAGTCCCTTTTTAGGAATGTTAAACCAGTCATAATATAGTTTATTATTATAGACTGTTAAACCAATTCACAATAAAAGGAAAAATTTAATATGATCTGCTTATAACATGGTCTTTTTAAAGTTAAAAGAGGCTGACTATATATACTACCATAACTTCCTAAGGTGAAAGCGATTTTAGAATTAAGTATGCCTCCTGGTCAAGTTGTATTTAACTGACAAAGAACAAGTAATAAAGGTGGTAGGTCTTTTACTCCTAAATTGCTGGTCCCAATTAAACCAAAAACCAAAACTAAATTTAATCAATTACCCCTTTATACCTCCAAGGGGGAAAACTTATCTAGCAACAGATTAAGTCCTTTCACTGTGGCAAAAGTTAATAGAATTTATGAGGAGTCAAGAATGTCCCAGACTTCACAGCTATTTTATTAAAATTAAACAGTATTTTAAATATCAACATGAGTTAATACTGCTCCATATAGTACTCTGCCTCACAAAGTTACTATGAGGATCAAATGAGAGTATGGGGGAACATTTTTACAAACTGTAAACCACTATGCAATAGGTATTCTTCTTGTCTACAAAGGGATGGAATGTGTAATTCTCTTTCATCACTTGCAGATCTTAGAGGTTTCTGCTTTACTTTTTGCTAAAAATAAAGGGAGTGGGAGGGTATTCCCTGGGGTTCTAGCATTTACTCTAATGATGTCCCTTTACTCAATCTATTCCATTAAAACTACTTACTTGTGCTAGTAAGAGAGTTAGAGTTTCCTACACGTTTTCGTGCTCTTTACATGTTTTTCCTCAAACTGGCTAAAACAAGAACAGCTTGTTTAGCTTCTCCTTATCTCTTCCATTCCATAAACATTTCTTGCTTTAATTATCACACAACCAAGGCATGATTTTGAAGGATCCAACATTGCCCTATCTGTTCCCACTGTCCTTCCTTTCATTATGTTAGATACAATCACACCTACTAATTGTTAGACACTGAGGAAACCAAAAAAGATAAGCTGCTTTGAGAGCTTTCTCCCCACAGATGTTAAAATTAATTTAGTAGTTTTAGATATTTTTTTCAGACACCTGGTATTTACAGCCTTTGAACCAAATCTGCATTTCCCATTGAGAGATCCACTTACAGGTCTGCAACTTGGAAATACCACGTTACTTGTAGACAAAGAGTCCTGTATAAAGATGTTCATATTTTAGCACTGTTAGTAATAACAAAAAACCTGAACATAACCTAGATGTCTGTCAGGATAAACTATGTTAAATTGAAAAGAATCAGACCTGTATGTATCAACACATACATATGTATACCTTGAAATTATAATAATTATAATAATTTTGAATTTTGAATAAAAAGGACAAGATGTTGAACATTACATACAGTATCATACTATTTTATATATTAAAAAAATGCTTATAGGTACATATCCATGTAGTAAAATATAAAAATATCGATTGAATGTACCCCACATTTATCATAGTGGCTACTTCTTGGGGGACAAGGTGGGATGAAGGATGTTTGGGAAGGGAATGGGACAGGTAAGAGGAACCTAAATATACATATGTATGTACGTATATATGGATATATGTTATATGTGTGTGTAATATGAAGCAAATATAACAAACATTAATACTTGTTCATTGTAGGTGACTAAACACAGGTGTTTAATATATTGTCCTTTATACTTTTCCATATAAATAAATTTCCTAAATAAAAAAGTTAAAAACCTTATGAATGTTCTTTTCTAAACCTTTGCTACTTCCTCAAATCAGCATGAATATGTTCATCAGTTTTTTTCCCTAGTGGGAACTGTTTCTTTTTAACTTTCTATTTTTCTTTGGTCCTATGTTCTTTGAATTTTTCCAACTCTACTATGAAAAATTTCAAACACAGAAAATTAGAAGGAGTGGTACAATTAACATCCAAGTTCTCTCAGATCCTAAAATTATTTTTTCATATTTGTTTTCTCTCTTTAACATTTTGTTTCCATCATACCATTTGAAAGTAAGTTCTAAATTGACTGATTGAGATAGAATTCAGAATAGTGGTTACTCTTGAAGGTGGTCACTGAGTTGAGGGAGCACAAGAGAACACTCACATTAGAAATGTTTTCTATCTTGGTCTGCATGGCACTTACACATGTAGAAAGTCACTGAGCAGTACACTTGAGATTTGTACACTTTACAATATGTAAGTTTTATTTCAAAAAGGGGGTGGGAGGGGGGTTGCAGGCATCATGACAATTTACCCCTAAATATTTAAGCATGTATTTCCTAAGAATAAAGACATTCTCCTACATAAAAATATTGCTATTGTCACACTTAAGAAAACTAATAATTCCATAAGAACACATCATATTCAATGAACACTCAACATTTCCTATCTCAAGAAGGACTTCTACAGCTCTTCCCCACCCTGGTCCCAAACCAGGATCACACAGCGCATTTGTTCGTTTTGTCTCTTTAGTCTTATTCAGTGTAGAATAATCCCCAACCTTTTATCCTCCATGACATTGAGTCCAGGCTGTTTGTCTTATAGAACGTCCACCTTCTGAATTTGTCTAATTGCTTCCTCATGGTGCTTAACTTTTCCCTTTATCCCGTGTTTCTTATAAAATGGAAGTCCAGAAGTTTAACATTCAACACAATCATTTTTAGTAATAATACTTCAGAGATGATGACTCATCCACTGAGTTTTAAATTTTAAGGCCACCTAGAAATTCTATTTGGTTCCTTCTTAGGAATCTAATCCTGCTATTTTTAAGTCTTCTAATGCACTGATGGTAGACTGTTTCCTTGCATATTATAACTTGTGATTTTGACCTTGTCATTGAGGCATTCTGTATGTGAATTCCATGAGACCTATATGGGCTAAGGGAGGGTTTGCATTTGTTTCTGCCCAGTTCCTGAATGCTATTACCACTTCAGGAGCAGTTGTTAATTTCTTGGGTTAAGAATTCCTGAATAATACAGGTAATATAATTATGAACCCCACACGCTATGATAAGAACAGGTCTATAGTTAAGAATTCACAAGGGAAACTTTAACCTTTATTTGGAGCCCTGGCACTAGTACTCAGACTTGAGTGTGGTTCAAGTTTGACAGACAGGTATAAATGTCAAATCTGACACTAAAAACAATGCAATTTGTTCCAGTTAAGGAACATAGACTTAGGCACCAAATAATTATGTCTTTTCCATTCTTGTTTGAAATGGATGCTTACATTTGCATGACCACTGGGTATCACATTTCATTTTCAACAACTAGTCTTTCTGAAAAATACAAAGAAAAAGCAATGATGATTAATTAAAGTTGACTCACCACTGTCCTCTGTTTATTGGGCAGGAAGACTCTAACGATAGGTTTTTGTGGTGACTTGGGGTTGCTCCGTGACACATCTGTGGGATTTTGAAAAACTGAAAGAGATGAAGGCAGCACTGAAAGGCTAGAAGAGGAAGAAGATGTAACGGTGTCTGTTGATGCAGAGCTAGAAACAGAAAAATCAGTTCCATTCCCCAGGGATTCCAATAACTGTTGTTCTCTTTGTTGGAGGGCATCTAGCTTGCTGGTGTATTCTTCATAGGCCTATAAAATAAAGTAGACTTACATTGAATCTGGACTTTTTCCTGACAGTAACAAAAGGAAATATGAAATTTAAGTCTTTGACTATAATCTCTTTATAATCTAGCTAACACGATTTTGTATTACAAATTACAAAATAAGTGCTGGAAGTATTATAAATTAGTACTTTTACCTTTAAATTGATAAATCTTTTGTTATAAGACACTACATCTAGAAACTGACATACACACACATATATATATGTCTATAATAGCCATGAATATTAATTTTGAAAAACCAGTATTTGCAATTTTCTGGCCAAATCACAATTTATATTCCAAACTACATTATCTAGCATAAGATAAAATACTAATATATCACAAATACCCTATTAATTTTTTTTCCAGAAAAGCTGTAGGCATATAAGGTTTCATACTTCTCTCTGCCTCTCTCTCTCTAAGGAACTGAGAGAGAGGTTGAGAAGGAGATGAGGTGTTAGAGAGATCTGTCAAAAAACAAGACTAAGGTACAGAGTGTCAGATCTCACCATTACCACCAAAATCACCTCAACAGGGATTAGAGGATGTATAACTGCCACTTTTTTTTTTTCTGAAACAGCTATTAGTTAAAATACCTTCTTTTACTCACTATGGATAACTTATGACCTCCCCTTTCCCATCAAATACTGCTTAGAGAATAGAATTTTGTGTGAAAAGGTAGTTTACACCCTGCAGTCAAGAAATTTTGAGGCCATTATCCATCAGGGTATCTTTCTAGAAGTTTCATTTTACTAAAGCTATAAGGTCAAATGATCACATAAGATATCATATTCTAAAAGTAGGAAGAATATTGGAAAGAGAATGATACTGAAAATAAAGAGATGGAATGAATTGGAATGTATGTGTCCATGGTCCTTTGAGGCAGTAGTAATCACCTTCCCCCACACTATAATCCACCATGTCTCTCTACCACCCCAAATAGATGCAACACTATAAAGATTTATGAAAGGCTACAAAGATTGAAAAGAATCAAAGATTTTAAAAAATGGCATTTCCCATCACTTATTAGGCTACAAAGAAGCAGATGGATGCATTTTTATTTGTGCAAGTATTGTACATGAGAAATAAAGAATGTTCTTGATACAAGATAAGAGTAAGTAAAGAGGGGGGGTCTTAAAAGGTTAGCATTTAGATAGATGGAGTTAAGTGGGGAGAAGAGAGTACTGTGTAGCACAGGAGAAATTTTGTAACAGAGTAAGGAGGTAAGAAATTTTAAGACATAGAGGAAAACTATGGACTAGTATAGCTCAACGTCATACAATACCTGGGACATATCAAGGGATCAAAAGATGTTTGTGAAATTTAAGTGAAGAACAGGAACACAAATAATAAGACTGGAAAAGTGGGTAAGGGACCAGCTTGTAGAGAATGTATATACTATGTTATGAAGCCTGAACTTCATTCTATAAGCAAGGGAGAATTATCTAAGGTAGAGGAGAATAAAGGAGAAATTTCCTTTCAACATAGGCCACCACACCTGATATGCTTGATCCTACCATATAATTTTTGGGGTGGTGAGGAGGGAAAATACTAAAATGAGCTACTGAAGTAAAGGGCCTAAACTACACCAAAATGCCCTCTCCTTTAGAATCTAGTAGTTGTCCAACGCTGACCCTGAAATGTTTCACAGCATCTCAGGCATTATAACCAAATCAGTCCAAAATTTTCTGAGCTGTATTTCTATTTAGCTTTCAGTTCGATGGGCTAATTACTTAAGGGCATCTTTTTCAGTATGATCCACTTATTGAGATTTCGCTCATTCAATAAATATATATTGAGCACACATGTACCTAGTAGTGTTTGAGGCTCAAACCACAAAAATGAAGACTAACACAATTCCTACACTTTGAAGATTATGTACATACAGCCTGGGAGACAAAAATTCCTCCTTGCGTAGATTAAATATTCTTATTTACTGTCACCTGGGCAAGTACATTTACTACACAAAGTTAGGCTTAGGAAAAGTAATAAATGTAAACAAATTTTCTGAATGTTATTTCTTTATCAAAATATTAGCCTTAATTTTTAAAAATATATTGTTCCCTCCACTGTGGGTTACAATCTATTATTTCACTGCATTTATCAATAACTCTTCCTTAAGTACAAAACATTTACTTATTCCACATCTCTCCATCCTCATAGCTGCAATCTACCAAGGTACTTGCCTACCTTGTTTTGAACCCGGTTTGACTCATTTCATCCCATTATCCTTGCTGCATTTCGTGTGGATGCTGATTACTCTTACAACACTCCTGCCCTGAAGTTCTCTAAACCTCGTATCTATAAAGGCATTTGTTTCTACTCTACCTTCAAGATCCAGAGATACAAACAGTTCTTTACCAAAGAGTTCCAAATGATGACAAGATCTCAACTGGGAACCTCCCATACCCCTATGCGCACACACTTATCCCACTGGCTTAAATTTCATCCTCAGTACCACACTAATCTGTTCATTGTCAACATTAATCCCTTAATGTTTTTCAGATTTCTTTGCTGTTTTACTTCCCATACTTTGTGGCTCACCATTTCAACAATGCCAATGGTAACACCATAGATTGGTTAATTCTTAATCTTTTACCAACTTGCTTGTCAAATACCAACTTTGGGTAAATTCTATCATTCAATTACTCCATTCTTTCTCTCAGGTTACCACACATTACTGAAGAAAATAATAAAACAAGGTCAACTGGTTCCATTATCAATTCATGGAAATTAGTCTTTCACACTACTATATGAAAATTTGTACTTATTTATTTAATTTTTTAAAATATTTATTTATTTATTTATTTGCGGCTGCGTTGGGTCTTCGTTGCTATGCACAGGCTTTCTCTAGTTGCAGTGAGCAGGGGTTACTCTTCATTGCTGCATGCGGACTTCTCATTGCGGTGGCTTCTCTTGTTGCGGAGCACAGGCTCTAGGCGCACGGGCTTCAGTAGTTGTAGCACACAGGCTCAGTAGTTGTGGCTCCCACGCTCTAGAGGGCAGGTTCAGTAGTTGTGGCGCACAGGCTTAGCTGCTGTGCGGCACGTGGGATCTTTCCAGACCAGGGCTCGAACCTGTGTCCACTGCACTGGCAAGCAGATTCTCAACCACTGCGCCACCAGGGAAGCCCCTGTACTTATTTTTAATTCGTATTACATTTCTCACAATACTTACTCCCACCTTTCCTATGCTTCTCTGGATCCTAACTTCATCCCCCAACCTTTAATTCACTCAAGAAAATAGCATTACCTTCAAATTTACTCTGAAGATCAAAGCCATCAAATAAAAGCTTCCTCTTCTTTCTTTGTCCAATCAATTCTTCCCATCTTTCCCCATCCTTCTTTTGCTCTCAATTTAGTATTAACACTGGGTGTTTAGAGCCTCTTCTGTGGAGGCCTTGGTTCATCATTATCTCCATTTTCTCTCATATCTTCCAACTTTCTCTTTTTCTCTGTTTTCTTACCCTGCAGACTTGAGCAAGTCCTCCCACATAAACATACACCTCAAGCACCTTTACCAGCATCAACAAAATTCCTTTGGTGCTTCAAGAAGCTGCAGAAACCAGATATTTCTTCAGATGGCAGCTTTTCCAAAACCCCATTCCTTCTCATCAAAATCCTACTTATTGGGCTTCCCTGGTGGCGCAGTGGTTAAAAGTCCGTCTGCCGATGCAGGGGACGTGGGTTCGTGCCCCAGTCCGGGAAGATCCCACATGCCGCGGAGCGGCTGGGCCCGTGAGCCGTGGCCACTGGGTCTGCGCGTCAGAGCCTATGCTCCACAACGCGAGAGGCCACAACAGTGAGAGGCCCGCGTACCGAAAAAAAAAAAAAAAAAACCTACTCATTTTTCAAAGTTTAATTCAAAGGTCTGCTTGGTAAAAATCCAAAATTGGTATTTTCTTTTCACCTCCTTTGGAGTATTACCACACTCTTCTTTATATGGCTTTTAAAAAAATCATTTGTGAAATAACTTTGTGAGCACTAAGTGAAATAATACTACCAAAGGAAGTTATTACAGCAAAAACCCAATAAATACTTTTATTAGTAGTAATAAGTAGTACTAGTTCTTATCGTTATTACTGTCTTACTTGGCTGAGTTCTCAACATGACTCTACTAAACTATAAGGTAGTTGAGGGCACAGCTCATGTTATTTATTTATTTATTTATTCATTCATTCATTCATTCATTCATTCATTCATTTAATGGATTCTTTTTTCAAACTGAAGTATAGTTCATTTATTTTTGAACTTAAAAAAAGAATGTAAGAACACAATATTATTAAGATGAAAATACTCCTCAAATTGATCTACAGATTCAATGCAATCCTTATCAAAATCCCAGCTGGCTTTTTTTTACAGAAATGGACAAGCTGATCTTAAAATTCACACAGAAGTACAAAGTACTTGGAATAATCAAAACAATCTTGAAAAAGAACAGTTTGGAGATTTACATTTCCTGATTTCAAAAGTTACTATAAAGCTACAGTAATCAAAACATATGATATTGATACGCATATAAAAAAACACAATAGATTGAGAGTCCAGAAAAAAAGCCTTACATTTATGGTTAACTGGTTTTTGACAATGTTACTGGTACAACTGAATATCTGCACACAGAAGAATGAAGTTGGACTACTACCTAACATCATATTACAAAATTAACTCAAAGTGTTTCATACACTTAAAAGTAAGGGCTAAAACTAAAAAACTCTTAGAGAAAACATTGAAGTAAATCATCATGACCCTGGATTAGGCAATGGTTTCTTAGATGACATACCAAAACACAGCAACCAAAGAAAAAGTAGATAAACTTGACTTCATCAAAATTAAAGCTTTTGTGCTTCAAAAGACACTATCAAAAGAGTGAAAAAAAGACATCCCACAGAATGGGAGAAAATATTTGCAAATCATATCTGATAAGGATTTCCTACCAAGAATAAAGAACTCTTACAACTCAGTAATAAAAAGACAACCCAGTTTTTTA